AATAAAATATTAAAATTCCTATGTACCCAGACTTTGTGGACACCCTGTATGTGTCTTCTTTCACCGGTATTTGTACTAGCCAACGAGCGTGCACCACGACGGTAACTTTGACTAGCGACTCGCCCACGTATTTTTCGTGTATAATTTGATTATTCGTCGTATATTTATCATATTATTTAAAAATCCGGTTGAAATATGGCGTTTAGGAGGTCGTCTACTTCAACTTACTCGAGGTCTAACTTACCGTGCTAGAGTTATTTTATATTAGTTCGCGGCGCGAAGCGCCGCGAACACCTCAAATTTACATGCCCTACAATTAACATGGCAAGAAAATCATTTCTAGTGCAAAAAAATGAAGAATTACATTATCCCTGACATGACGTGACATTGGATTTTAGCCTACTTGAACTAGCCAATATGCGCTCGCACCGCTACTTTGACACCGGTGCAAAATAAGGCAAATAGGCTGTCCCAATCTGCCAGGGGAAATGAAAAGCGACCTTGTTTGAATCATTGGGCGCGGACAGTTCGAGTTTGACCAAGGATGATTTAGATGGTGCCCTAGCAGATAAGGTGTGTATTGGTTGTACCTTCCCTGGTAGCGGTCTCCTGCCCACCTTCCCCTATAGACAGCTATGAGTAACAGTTGCCCTTGCTACGAGGTCCCCACAGAGTATTCCCTTCCCCGATGGTAGCCACCAGTCCCATCTTCCTAGGACTGTCGTGGTTAAGATTGTGGATTATTGTTATCCAAATGTTGACTGCTTTCTACATCTTTGATAAACATTAGTATGTTATGGAATATGCCAGCTTGTCAACTTGTCGAATGACTATTACGATTAACAAGACTCCTAGTGAATTTCGGAATGTGGATGCAATCAGAAGACAGTAGATATAGACGAACAGTCGAGTGCCGGCCTTAAGAGAAGATAATCGTGCTATCAAGGACCCCCCCCAGTATGCTTGGACTGTTACAGTTTTTAAATATTTCGTTGGCGTGTTCTTCGTTGACGGCGATGATAATGACAGCGGATGTCCTCCGTCCTCCATATTGGTTAAGGAGTGTAGTATTTTTGCACTAGTTGCTAAATTTATCTGTCTATACCTCTTGAATGATATTTATGGTCGGTGTTCCTTGATTATTTATCTATTTGTAATAAAGTGGCTTTGGGACTTCTATTTGGGGCTTAGGGTTGTGTGCAATGCATTTCATTTTCGTGTAGTGCGCGAGCGCTCTGGGGTTCTGAGTAGCGTAACTTCTTTCTAGTTAGGGCCGGCACGCAGATATTCGTCTGTGTTCACTGTCCCCTGATCCTATCGACACGCTGAAATTCACTAGGAGCCCTGTTAGCCATAACAGTCACCCGACAACATGGAAGAATGATACATATGTTAACATACAAGGATTTATTAAGGACGGACAGAACAGTCATATATATAGGATAAACATTGACGTAGATTAAGAATGGTAATGACCCAAGAACGGAGCCCTGCGGCACATCAATAAAAACTGTTACTGAAGTGAATTTCGCGTTGCCAACGCCCACATATTGCGATCCGCTTATAAGGAAACCTCCTGTCCAATTGACTAAATTCCCCCTTATCCCAGATTCACCAACCTTGTAGAGTAGCCGCTGGTGTGGGACACTATAAGAGGCTTTCTTGAAGTCGATGTAGACGGCATCGAATTTGATATTTTCGTCTAATGACCTGGACCACTGGTCCATTGAATAAAGCCTATTGGTCAGGCAGAATTGGTTTCCCCGAAAACCGTGTTGAGCACTATCGAAGAAGTCTTCTTCTTGGAGAATCTTAAGGATGACCTTTTTGATAATCTTTTCCATAACTTAGCATCAAATGCAAATTTGGCGATAGTTGTTCGCGCTGGCTCTGGATCCACTCTTAAGAATGGGGTATATGTTCGCAAACTTCCACTCAGATGGGCGGAGGCTTCGATCAAAAGGCGACTGGAAAATATGCGAAAGCGGTCTGGAGAGTTCCGAAACAAGATCTTGTTGTACTTTTGCCGGTATTTGGTCTGGACTCGAAGACTTAGTTTCGCTAAACGCAAGAAGTTCTTTTCTCCAATCCTCTTCTGTGAAATTGAGGTCACCCATGATTGTGTTATTACTCCGTATATTGAAGTCCGCCTGGTTAAACTCTTGTTCTTCAGTGCAAACAGATGTGAATAAGTGACTTAGGTTTTCTACTTTTTCAGGAGTTCCAATAATTTCTTCGTTGTTCCCACTTTTCGAGACTGCTCTTGTTTCTTTATTTGTTAACCTACTGTTAATGTAGCTCAAGTGTAATTTTGGCTTATATGCTGCCCGTTCTATAATTTTTGCCTCATACTCATTCCGTGAGTTTAGGACACTTGACCTAATCTAGTTCCGCTTTCGGAAAAATTCTTCGCAGAATGTCGTGTCAGTTTAGTATTGATATTTCAATTCTCATCGCAGGAAACTCTCCGTGTAAGTAATTTAGTCGAACTTCTCTAATCTCCGTTTTCTTGATTTTTAAACCGTATTCCCCACATCGCCGCTCTTGCCAAGCGATGGAACTGACCCAAGTTCATCTGCATCGATTGGGTTTTTCGAAAGTACGAGATCTACACAAATTTCTGCTTGTACCTCTTTCATTCTTGTTGAAAATGTAAAATTCTGAACGAGAAACAGATTTCCTGTTAATTTTAATAGTCTGGAGCTAAAGGAATCGCGCGAACCTTTTACTGCTAACTCGTCCCAATCGATCAGTGGTACGTTAAAACCTCCAGCTATCAGTGTGTTTTCGTTTTGGGTCAGTTCTTTCACTAAACCATACATGGTCTCGTCCCCGTCTGGATTTTAATTTGAAATGCGGAATAGGTACACCGAACGTCTTCAGTTTAGGCCATAGTGCATTGCAATCTGAGTTTACGTTCTGACGCTATGATGACTATTATTCCTCATCCTCTTTTATGTAGCCACTTCTGACGAAAGAGCTGGTAATCACCGGGTACAATTTTGGCATCCATTACACCGGCGTGTAACCAGATCTCTGTAATGGAGATGAAATCCGGTTATAGGTCAACAACACATATGTTAAATTCGTCTGTCTTATGAAACGAACTCTGTGCGTTCGTATAAAGAAGGCGGAGCTTCGCAAGTATATATTTCTGAGCGAGTTTTGAGTCAGGGTAGCCGGATTTTTTTGCGGATTATTTACTCTATTGTCTCATGGTGAATCTCGTGTTTCTTTGTGAAACTCAGCGTTATTGGCTGTCTCAAGCGGAATTACTTCTCGGCGATAAATAAGCATATAATTTTATATTTTAGGCACGAAGGGCCTCATTACTGCAAACGTAGTGCTTTGGAAAAATGAATAAAAGGTTGATAAATGCTGCTTTTTATGAGCAAATGCATAGGCAGCAGGAGGGTTTAGTAGGCAGATACATTCATATCCGCCAACATATCGTCATTTTAAAATAATAGTCAACACTCTGAAATGTATGGTGCACTAAGGAGGAAGCAGGGAAAAAGCTCCTACCATTAAGGCGGGGGCAGAGTTCAACGGACCCCCACTATATAAAAAAACAAAACGTATTGTCCTCAAGACGAAACCAGACACAGGGTTCATAATCTGTGGACGCCATCGGAGCGGAACAGAGATTCGACCGCGTCAGCACCTAAAATTCTTAAAAGATGTCCTGAATCTAGAAAACTAGTGATAGGTTTCTTAAAAAAGAATAACTTTGCTGAATTGCGACATTTATGGGTTGCTTATTCCCGATGTCTATGGCGTTTGCGGAACAAAACTGACGATATCTAACTGTGCGTGCCAAAAAAAGAGATAAAAAGACAACATGGTGTCTGATGCACCCGGGAGAGGTCAAGCAGTCTCAGTGTGGTAAGGAAGTTAAAGGTACGACTGTTTAAAGGTTTAGCTGTAAGAAAGTCCCTGTTGTAGTCAACGAAGCTACAACGGATCAAAGTGGTTAGTAGGAAAGTCTATAATGCTCCGATGAGAAATCTCTTTTAATATAGAAATGCAGCACCGATTTTAGTTTCTTCTGTTCACTACCACTCAGAAGGCGAAATAGAAACGAGCGATATTACAGACTAGTTTTAACCTACATTTTATCAAGAATAATTATAATATTGATGGTATTGAAATTCCTGAGAATGAACCTGGTAGTTCTGTGGGAGCCTGCCTCGCTGACTCACGCTGGCTTTGTTGCCAAAACCGCACAGGTTCAGCGTACACGCGCGCCGGTTAAACTCCTACGCACAGTGTCTGCCAACCGCTACGAGTGGCCCCGCGAAGTCCTACTTGTCCTATGCTCCCCCCGTTTATCGCGGCTCCATGCGCACGTTAGCTCTAGCCAATAGATGCGCGCATCTCAACCTGGCTGAGTGCACGGCCCAGCAGTCTCGGCTCTACGGCACCGAACATACAATTTGGCGTGCTGAATCTGTGTGCGTAACTCCGCCTGTGTACTGTCTATTTTCAGGCGATAAACTTCTGTCCACCAACACCGACTTGCTTGACTTGTGAGTTGGAGGTAACCTTCTGTTTGTTGACATCACAACTTGCGACAGTTCCGTGGGCTTTCGATTCAACTAGGGCGCAATGCTCTGACAGATTAAGACCACTAGAATATGATATAACCACATCCTTAATAAATCCGGGCACATTTAGGTCACGATAGCCTTTACTTTGCAGAGGCAGAAGAACATCCCCAACGGCCATGACAGAACAGTTGTGCCAGGAAAAGGAAAGGCGCCATGTGCAGCACAACTGGGCAAGAGTCTGAGGATGCGTTTTGAAGATCTCGAGCACGATGTTTTGACCTTTCGGTTTACATTTGCAACTTTTCAATCTTAGGCGTCCATAAAGGGCATGCGTTATTGCAAATAATAGGGAAAATTGTTGAGAAAAAGACAAAATAAGAACGGGCCAAGCATTCTACACTGAATAACTCTACTCCTCACACGTGTGTGGCTGGAGACATTATTGGAAATGTTAAGGTCACAAGCTTAATACCTATACCGAACGAGACAGGTTTCGGGAGGAGGAGACCATGGTCAACA